GAAAAGACAAATGGAGGGCTAATAGTTTTTCTCATGTTGTCAATAACACAGGACCAGAGACCAGTAGCTTAACCGATGGAAAATAATTTTCTGTCAGTGCTGGAGGCTGGATGTTTAAGATGTAGTTGTTCAGCCCGTCCCCTCCTCCTCAAGGGCTCCCTCCTGAGCTGTGGATGCCACATCTTCCCAACCATCCTTCTGTGTATACACCGGGTATCTGATCTCCTCAGATGACATTGCCAGTTATACTACATTAGGGCCTGCTACAATGACCTTATATTAAATTAATTGCCTCTTTAAAGACCTTATCTCTGAGTAAGTCACATTCTGAGGTGCTAGGGTTAGTACTTCAATATGTGTGTGGGGCAGGCACAATTTACTTTAAAACAAAAGGGAATTGACCTTTGAACAAATTTGAGTTCAATTTTATTAACTACTGATAAACCTCTATTACCTTTAGGGTGGCGTTCCCATCCTAAAAAGATCTTTTTTGTTTTGTTTTGTTTTGTTTTAGTTATGAGTATTTGACTGTATATGGTGTATGTGCACACGGGTGCAGTTTCCCGCAGAAGCCAGAGGAGGGCGTTGGGTATACTGAAGTTGTAGCTGCAGAAGAAAGGCCTGATGTGGGAGCTGGGAATCAAACAGGTTTTCCCCAAGAGCAGTGCAGGCTCATGACTGCTGGGCCATCTCTTCGCCCTGGGGCTCTTAGTTTTTCCGAATGGATTCAAACCCATGAGACTTGCATTTTGAGTGAGGACACATCGGCCGCCAGATGTAACAAGAATTGCTAAACGGTCTTAAACAAACAAACAAACAAACAAACAACCCCTGGAGCCAGCTATTGTGGTGAAAGATCAGAGAAACAGAACAAGTCACAGCCAACCTCACCTCGCCAACTCCTCAGCTGATCTTGTTTCCTCAGATGGAAAGCCTCTGACTGGACCTGAATGGATCTCAGCTGAACCGCTCTTAGTTCCTGTCTCCTCACGCCTCATATACGGGTCTCTACCCAGCCATGTCACTTTCTGCGATTAAAGGCGTGTGTGACTCCCAAGCAAAGGCATGAGATCTCAAGTGCTGGAATTAAAGGCGTGTGCCACCACTGCCTGACTCTGTTCCTAGTGTGGCTTTGAACTCACAGAGATCCAGACAGATCTCTGCCTCCCAAGTGACAGGATTAAGGGTGTATGCCACCACTGTCTGGCCTCTATGTCTAATCTAGTGGCTGGCTCTCTCCTCTGATCCCCAGATAAGTTTTATTGGAGTGCACAATGTATCACTACAGCTAAATGAACTTAATGATAGCCAAAACATTGAAATGCTTGTGGAATTTAAAATTCCATCACTCAGCCTATGTACCTTGTATGTATGCCTCTAGGACATATGTTGTTCATTATAGCAGGTAACATACACAGTGACAGGAAAATGAAAGGGGCAGAGAGAGAGAGAGAAGAATGCCAGTGTGCTATTGGCTTTCTCCTTTTTATCCAGTTGGGGACCCCAACCCATGGAATGCTGCCACTCACATTTATGGGGATCCTCCCACCTTAAGTAATCTAATCTAGGCAATCCTTCATGGACGTGATTTGTTTCCATGGTGGTTTGAAGCCTCGTTAAGTTGACTATTAGGATTAACCATTATGGGCTGGGGAGATAGCACTCTTGGTAAATTGCCTGGCACATAAGCATGAGGTCCTGGGTTCAGATCTCCAGGACCCAGGTAAAAAGCCAGTTGTGTAGTGCTGGAGAAAGGGATAAAGTTGGAGGCAAATTCACCACAGCCAAATCAATGCGCTCTGGGCTGAGTGAGAGACCCTGTTCTGTCCCAAAAAATAAGGTGGAGAGTGATGGAGAAGGACCTCTAATGTCCCTTTGGGATCAGCTTCTACAGCCCATAGAAATATATGTTTTTTGCTTTAGAGGCAGTGAATTATTTACCTACATGTTACAGTGTCCATTTTGTCTTTATATAAAACAAAGCAAAAAACTTTGGCTCAAAAAAACAGCCTTTTTTTTTTTAAAAAATTCTGAATTTGCCCTGTTTGCTATATAGCTGAGATAGGCCTTGAACTTCTAATCCCCCTGCTTCTGCCTCTTGAGTGCCAGGATTTCGGGTATGAGCCACCATGCCCGTGTAGAAGTCAAGTCTTTAAAAACATGCACGAGGAACCAAGGGCTTGATTCTCCGTAGTTTTCTAAAATGGCTTTTCTTATTTAAATGACATATTATCAGCTAGCTGACTGCAAAGTGGAGGGGGAACCTCAGCTCAGCCAAGAGCTACGTGATGTGGATGAGAACAGATCCTACAAGCTGAGACATTTTGCTGAACAAAGTAGCCTGAGTCCTCAACCGCAATGGTTTGCAATTCTGTTTCCAGAGTGCAAAGTTGGTTATTTTTTGTTGACTTCCTGCGGACGTCTTTTCAAGCCTCCTTGTGGGCCACTTGTGTGAATTCAGGTGTGTGGCGGCACCCCACTTCACACCACCTGCTCCTCTCTCCACTTTGAAGTAAAAGCCAGAGGAGAATGGCGATCCTTTCTGTTATTCAATATTCTTATTGGAGGGCTATGCTTTTCGTGCTTCCCATGGAGGCTACTTACCTTCTTTGTTTGCCATAGAAATGACAGCTTTCGGGTGGGCAGCAGGGTAGAGGAAGACATGCTTTCTCTTGGACTTTTGTAGGCTGTTCCGTCTCCTGGGGAGGTACCAATGTTTCATGGTTCTGTGGCTTTTGACTTCTGGGCATCAGCCATTTTGATGGAAGCTCATTATCCCAGGAAGAGAGTCAGCAGTGACACGTCAAATTGTAGGCAGTGTGGTGTTAGAGTCACAGTGCATACTGACTATAGACTTGGGGATGGCTTAATTTCACTTTTACTTTAAATATGAAGACCATTAATTAAGATTGTGTGGCGGGATTTACCAAACCCTTAGGGAAGAAAAGCTATTTAATGATTTTTGTTTTCTTGCTGCTGCTGCTGCTGCTGCTTCTCAGGCTAGGATTTGTATAATTAATTGGCTCCTGGTGGAATATCTCTTCTGTCTCTTCTACACTCAGCATTCTCAGGGTAAAGTTAGTATTTAAAAGAATTAAGACTTTTCACGTTGTAAATGCTCAGTAATTACCTGGTGAGTTAATTATGTAAAAGTGGGTTCCAGGATAAACAAAACACAGCATATAGCCGATGAACTATTATGTCTCTGAGAGAGTGGCATTCAGACACGTGCCGTAACATGGATGAATCTTGAAGATACTGTGGAAGTGAAACAATCTAGGCATGAAAAGCATGGTTCCATGGTTATAAAGTATCCCAAAGAGGCAAACTTGCAGAGATCATATGGAGAATAGAACTCACCCCAGCTTCGGATGCAGGAATGGGGCTTAATGTTCAGTGGGTTCAGGGTTCCTGTTTGGAGTGATGGAAAGTTCTGGAAAGGGAAAGTAGCCATACTGCTCAACGTTAGAGGCTTTAAAATGGCTAATCGTTACTTACTTATGTACATACTTAGGTGCTTTCAAAACCTGATTCTGATGGAGGAAGGGTATAGGAAATATATACAAGTTGCAAAAACAAAAACTTTTTTTTTTTTAATTACTTAGGTGTTTATTACCTGAGTTTCCAGACCTGCTTGTGGGCAGTTTTTCTGTGGATTTACTCATGCAGTACAGAAGACTCTTTCATGTCAAACTCTGGCCAGGATGACAGGCTCAGACAGTTGCAGTACAATTCCTTCCTGACTTGGGAGAAATCATACTATTTATGGAAAATATTACAAAAATTTGGAATCCCTTAATCCTTCTAGAAATAATAATTTTATCCATGGACCAAGCCAGATAGCCAGGTTGCTTCATGCTTGGTGCTTGGGCGGGTTTATTTTTCTGTGTGTACCCCTTGCTAAATCACACAGTGACTTGAGCTTGCTGTCCTCTCTCCCATGAGGCGTGTGGTACGTAAAGTTAACTCATTAAAAAATAATAGACCATGTGTCAGTTAGGGTTCTTCAGAGAATCCTGTTTGTCAGTGTATAAAAGAGAGAGAGAGAGAGATTTAGTTTAAATAATTTATGACGATAGGGCCTGGCAAATGTGAAGTTTGGAGAGTAGGCCAGTGGGCTGGAGATCTGGGGAAGAGCTGTTGTTAACGTGTTGAGCTTCACAGTAATTTAGAGGCAGAATTCCTTCTTGGGAGACCTTGGTCTTGTATGTTAGCATCTCCTGGATTGGAGGGGCCCATCGTGATGAAAGGTGATCCACTGATTCAAATGTTAACACATCTTAAAAAAAAAAAAAACAACTTCACTGCAACATCTAGACTGATGTTTAACAATGGGCCCCCGATACCCTCAGCCAAACTGACTACAAAATTAACTCAGAGATAGGGATGTGCCAATAAGAGAATCATCTTTAAATCAGGGGATTTGTTGTCTTTTTCTATTTGCTTATTTGAGTGCATGTAGAGGAAGATTCCAGTTCCCTCCCACCTCCTCATCTAGGGTCAAGTCTCACGTTGTCATTATTTCATCAGCTGGGTAGGGCTGTCTTCCAAACCAAGGTGGGTTAAATGGCAGAGAGTCTTCATTGTGGATGTGTTGAAGGTGGGAATGTGTAGATGCAACAGCCTGCCAAACAGGCTGGTGTGAGCCCATGCCATGGTGAGTTCTGCCAGCCAGCCCTTTGGGAATCAGCCATTTTTGTGGAGGGATGTGATGGGGTGCATGATTTCACCATTATTGCATTCCCAATTAGCCAGTGCCCAGGTGTGTGTTAATAAGTGCTAGCTCACTCTCTGTTACACTAACCACCCCACCTTGACTTGATTCCAGGGATTTCATGCATTTGATTTGTTCGAGTCATTATGTGGTTGCTGTTCTATCCCGAAAGGTCTTCACACATCTGGAGACCTGCTTTTTGTTGTTGTTGTTAGAAAACCTTCCAGTTGCTCAAGAATGTAATCGAGCAGTGGCGGCTCTGACTTTGTCCTTTCCTCTCTGGCAGGCTGTTTACTTCCTTGGATGCAGACCTGTTCACTACAGAGTAGAGCCTGGCTACCAGGTTGTCTTTCTTAAGGTAAGAACTTCGCCATCACAGACACCCCTGGGCTTCAGGCAGAAGCTCTAGCTTAGCCTGTTGAGCACCCACACAAACTCCTGCATGTCTCAGAACTCTGTTTTCTCCAGTCTGCCAGTTTTCTACCCCATCCTAGCCCGCTTCTGTTTCTGTTCTGTGGTTCCGGGACTTGGAATGCTAGTTTGGGCTTGTTGTAGTTTTGTTTGGTAAAGGAGGGAGTCTGTAAGCCCAGGGACTGCCTAGTGGATTAAAGGTTTCCCTGGTACTGCAGAAGTCACTTATTTGGTTAATTAAAAGAGAACTCACCTAAAGTGACCTTCATAGATCATTGGGTTCTATGTGGGGCAAGGAGCAATATTTATATATAGTCATATCACAGCTGAAAAAATACTCAGTGTGTATGAATACTAATTATTGAATGTTTTGGAATTCTCAGATGTTTAAATGTTAAGGCTTAGGAAACACATACTGACCCCAAACGGGATGAGAGTGTTTTTCTAACGAAGAATCGATAGGTGTAAATGTGAGCGTATTTCAAGCTCTGTGTTTACTGACGATGTCGTTCACTCAGCTTTCATATATTTGGTTTTTAATGTGGTGCTTAACACAGAGACTGCCCAGATAGGTTGCTAGCCCTGACCTCCATTATCCCAGGTGAAGAGATCAAAGCAGAGGGCTGGTTTACTGAGGTCAGACTGCACATGCCACTCAATGCCCTTTTGTGGCTATGAGGAGTAAGCCTATGCTTCCTAGTTATTGCTCCCTGGCTGTCAGGAATGCCAGCCCCTAGCCCCGAGGCCTCTGCCTTACAAACAGACCTCCCACCTTGTGTTTGATGGGTGGAAGGGAGGAAGACAAGCACCCAGAGGAAGTTGTCTGAGATCAGGAAGTGATTGGGCCCTGGCCATGTTTACATTCCTTTTCTTGTCCAGAGAGCAGATTGAATTATTAGCATCAGTGTTTGTTAACGATAATTATATGTTTCAAGTATGAAGCAGGATTCTGTAAAATATCAGGTAGGATGCCTTTCTCTTCGCCTTTCTGGAAAAATGACATTGTACTGCTCTAATTAGGATCAGGAAGACAAGCAAGAGTCCATATATTATCATCAGCTTTCCCCAGGATAAGAGAGAGGGTGGTGCATGAGCTGTTACTTCATTTTAACAGTGTGTTGCTAGATGTCCTCCAAATGTGAAGATCAGAGAGTTGAAGGTCCAGCTACGAGACATGGGGGTGGAGAGCCATCTTCCAAGGCAAAGAAAGTTTCTTTTAACAGTGTTAACCACAGTTATGGGACCACCATTAACCACGGTGGTCACAATGAGCACAAGGTGATAAACAAACCCATAACTCTGATATTAACCATCATCACCATTACTACAACTAACATTATTGGCTCCTACTTCTTTAGGCACCAGACTAAGGTTTTATATGCGTGGTCTCTTATAATCATCATGGCATTTCTGGCAGGAAGATTCTATTAATATCTACATTTCATAGATAAGAACATTGAGTTACTCAAAGTTAGCCAAGCCCAAAAGTGTCAGAAGTGGAAAGTAGCCTGCAGAACATGCCAGGACAGGGCCCGCCTAGTACAGACACTTGTGGACGGCTCATTGGATTGCACTCTTACCTCCCTGCCTTGCAGAATGTTCCCTACCTACCACTTACCATTGGTACTTTATCTCTTCCACACTGGGGAATTTTAATTATGTACATAGAAGAAATTTTCAGTCATTTTGACCAGTAGAGAACAGAAGCTATCTGGGACTGCTTACTTTCTTGGTACTACATATCTAGATCATAGCAATTGCATGGATATTTATGACCTGCTCCCTGGACTATCACCTGGTGATACTCACTTTGCATTGGTTTGCACATATCCTGAACATGTCTGCCCACTTCACTAAGACTCATGGAATAAAAAACTTCTATTGGAGCTAGATATAGGTCTGCCTGGCCCTACATTCTGTCATGGCTTATAAGGAACAAAATTTGGTTTCCATCATGTCTTTCTTCAAAGATCTACCTTGGAAAGTTTGCCTCCTTTGTAACCTGTCTGGTCACTAACTGGCCTTAGCTTCTCTTAAGTCAATGTGCTGACTTGAGTGTCCTCACTGACCCTAAGCAGGTGGGATGAGAGCTTGGGAGACTGGAAAACCTGTTGGCAGACAGGTGTCCTGGTTTCGTGTGTGTCTACTTGTGTTAGAAATACCATTGGTGATAAAGCTTCATTTGAGCAGGACTATCATCAGTTATCTGTTGCTTAATAAACCACCCCATGCTTGTGGCTTAAAACAACAATCATTTTATTTGCTTATGCTTCTGTGGGTTTGCAACTGGGGCAAGGCCCAGCTGGGTGATCCTTCCACTAGCATCAGGTGGGTCACCCTTGCCATTGTACTGAATTGGTACCCGGAAGATGGGGTTTAGGATAGGCCTCTGTAAGTTCCTTCTACCTGTGACCACTTTTTCCTGAGTTTTTACATGAGTCCGATCATGTAAGAACATGAAATAGATATACAAATCAAAGTAACAGGCAGTAAATCACAAAGAAATCCATTTCAAAACAATCCTTTGGAATACATATAACTTTCCATTCATTAAAAATGAAAGCGTATTTGCATACTGGTGAGATGAGATGTTTTTATTTGTCAAACACAATAAAATCCAAAGTCATATTAATTTGATATTTGCATGCTAAGGATGACAGTAGGAAAACACTAAGTCTTTGTTTTTCTGTAGTTAAATTGTTGTGTTTCTTTGTTCATTTTGAGTCAGGGTCTCCTATAGCTCAGGCAGGCCTCAAACTTGTTATATTGTCGAGGACAACCTCAAACTCCTGATCCTGCTTCCATTTCCCAAGGGATGTGATTACAGGCATGTTCGACCATGCCCAACTTAAATCAGTATGTTTCAGTAAGAGTAGAAAACTTTTTATGTACACTAAAAACACTGCCCTTCATAACATACACTAGTCAAGTCAGAGTCAGCGTGTTTCAGTATTCAGTGGTGTTTTGTGGCCTGACACAGGCTCCATGCAAACTGCACATGATGTGTTTTCAGAACCAAAGCTGCAGTGAATTTGGAGGCAGCCCGGGCAAGCACTGCTACCAGGGGCTCACTGTGTGCGTATGAGTTTTCATTAAGTTTTGGTCCTTGAGTGTTCAGAAACCTTTTTACCATTGCTCCATTGTTTGCAATCTCACATCAAGTTACGTGGCCCCATGTCCCACAGTTTAAAGTTGATAGGGGACTTATCTGGGATGACCCCATGGTATCAGTAGACTCTCCTAGGTTCTGTCACATGACAAACCTGGCCAGAAAGCAAAAGCAGACAGTGCAACCTGCAGGCCTAGACTCAAAAACTGCTCAGCCTCACTTCCGCCTCATTTTATTGTCCAGAGAGTATTTGGGTAGGCCCAGTTCAAGGAAAGGGGCTGGAAATAGACACTACCTCTTCTTGATGCTAGCTACAAATTATCAATAGCCATTTAAAATACATGAAGAGACTCTTAGCTTTGCTAATCAAAGCAACCTGAAATTGGCTTAAAAGCATTTATCTTTTTGTTTTTTGAGACAGGGTTTCTCTGTATAACAAGTCCTGGCTGTCCTGGAACTCTCTTTGTAGACCAGGCTGACCTCAAACTCACAAAGATCCATCTGCCTCTGCCTCCTGAGTGCTGGGATTAAAGCATGTGTCACCACCGCCCAGCAAAAGCATTTATCTTTACATAATCCTTGAATAAGATGATCCATGAGAGGAAGATGTGGAAAACAGAGGTCTTCAGCAATGTGTCTGTGCATACGGTAATGAAGACACTGACCATCACCACCACCACCAGTAACATTGCCAGAGTTAGGGCACAACCTGTTCTCCAGTGGAGCCAAAAAAGCAAGCTGTGGCCATTCATCTTCTCAAGGCAATTAACAGAGCCAAAGAAATTGTGAAAAGCAGAGAAAGGAAATGTATTCAGTTTGGCCATATTGGGAAGAGGGACAGATTCAGGGACACCTAAAATCCCTTCTCAAAATACCGATAAAATCAACAAGAAGGCAAAAGATGTGCATGGTTAAGCAGTCCTGGTCAAGGTGTGGTCCTGCCCGGCACGGATCCATCATTGTCTCAGCTCTGGACTTCCCTCCAAGGCAGTCTAAGTTGTCAGCACCATGTAAAATCCCTTCCCTGTTCCTGGGGACACCCTCACCTCCCTCCAACGCTTTTCTTCTCTCACGGGGGAAATTCTAATTCACAGGGGTACCTGTTTCACCTGCCCAGCAGTCCAGATAGAGAGACACAAATGTCTCTTTAGAAATGTCCTCATACCTTCCTGGATGCTGGTTGCAATAACATTGTTCTTACCGTATGCCACCACAGTTTGAAGTCTTTTACATATCACAACTCACTTCATCATTATAAAATATTTGAAGAGTTATAGATTTTATTCCCATTTTAAACTGGGAAAAGCAAGAGACATTAAGTGGCTTCCCTTATAGCCACTAAGTGGCAGAAGTCGGAGGCTACCCAAAGTGGCCAGGCTCCAGAGACCGGGCATGAGCCCTGGCTGTCTCTCCGGTTAATGGGAAGCAAATCTTCCTGAGTTTTAGTAAAGCTTTCTTGGATCGTGGTTGGTTTTGTTTTGTTTTTCCCAGAGACAGTGGGATTGGCTATTTGGTGAGATTGCTAAACCTTTCTGGGCACACCCTTGTGGCCTCAAATAGGTTGAGGCACATGAGAAGAGTAGAGATCGTAAAGGTGTCAATGTCCCATAGAACCAAAAGTGATTCTTTGGGTCCCGCCAGTGTCTCTTGGAATATGGGTGCTCAGTGTAGGGTCATTCTTGTCTTGCTCAGGAAACATCTGAAGAATGAGAATGCTTAAGGACAACCCCCACAGGCTTTCCAGTAGTCTCTTAATTTTAGCTTATGCTCCTCAGACTTAGCCCAAAAGAAAATGTTGTGTTTATTTAGCATTTTGTTTAAAGACTATCCTGGGGAAA